ATGTCGAGGCATTGAAAGTAAGTTTGACTAAAGAAGGTGTTGAAATCGAAATTGATAATAAGAATAGTGAAGAGGCAGAAGACGATAAATTGAATAATATAGAAATAACGGATGATATTACTACTGTAGAGAATCAATTAGAAAACAAAAAAAAATTATTTCTTACATTGTAAATTTATTATTTAAAATACATATATAATTATCATTAAATATTACATAATTATTTTATTAAATATTACATAATTATTTTTTAATTAAATTTATTATCGTTATAAAAATGGGTAATAAAATTTTGGTTTGGATCCAAAAATAATTACCCAAATTGATAATCGAAATTAGAGATTTTGATTGGCTAATAGAAGACCGGAGGTTCACGGGAGTGATCTGCAATTTGTGTAACCTTGACGGTCGCTCCTGTTACCTGTTTTTGATCATAAGATACCAGGGTATCTTAACGTAACTCCAATTACTTTTTATTATTCCACTTGTGTTCCCATTTCTGTAAATGGCATGTTCATCCATTTCAACTCTTATCCCGTGACGATAATTGAGATTTTTTATTATGAATCGAACTATTATGATCCATTTTACTTTTTAAATATGAGAAAAAAAACGGAATCTTTAAATCATTTAAATGTACGCAGATCTGGTGATTTTAGAATATTGATAGAGGCCAAATGTCAATAATAATCCTTCAGTGGGTTATTAGTGTTGGCGTGAGCTTACACAGAGTAGCTCACAGTTCGAGACCTGGCGGGAGCGTACGATCCGGCTGTTCCGGGACGAGAACTTTTTTTCTTTACCTAATATTACTTATTCGCAAAACTGTTAAAAGATGAATGTACAGTACTATGCTAATGTATTATTATTTTAGAGTTTTGTGTTGCAACTTTTTTTTTTTCTAGAATTGCTATGGATGATTTCTTTGACATTTTGTGAGTACTTTATTTGCATTTTGTAGGTACCTTCTTCGACGTTTTGTGTATAATCTTTTTATATTTCGACGTTTCATGGAATAACTTTTTTGACATTTTCTTCGACATTTGGTGAGCGTTTTCTTTGAAGTTTCTTGGGTGATTTCTTCAATGTTCATGGGCAATTTCTTCGATGTTTTGTGAATGCTTCGATCTTTTGTAAATAATTTTTCAACATTTTTTTTAGGTGCTTTCATCGACGCTTTGTTGGCAATTTCTTTGACGTTTTGTGGTGATTTCTTTGACTTTTCGTCGTAGATTTCTTTTTGTGGCAATTTCTTCATTTCGTGCGATTTCTTCGATGTTTGGTGGGAGATTTTTCGACATTTTGTGGGAGAATTCTTTGACATTTTTGTATGTGCTTTTTTCGACGTTTTGTGGATAATTTTTTAACATTTAGTAACTACATTTTTTGATGTCTTGTGGGTGATTTCTTCGTCGTTTTATAGGCGATTTTTTGAAGTTTCGTGGGCAATTTCTTTGACGTTTTGTGGGCAATTTCTTCGACATTTCATGACGATTTGTTCAACGTCTTACAGCGATTTCTTTGATCTGTGGCGATTTCTTTGACGTTTTGTGAGTGATTTCTTCGACATTGTGTGGACAATTTTTTCGATATGTTATGGACAATTTCTTCAACGTTTTATGGACAATTTCGTCGGCGTTTTATGAACAATTTCTTCGATGACTCATGGATGGATTTTTTGGTTTGAAGTTTTGTGGTTCTTCGAAGTTTTGTATCTTCTTGACATTTCATGACAGCTTCTTTGTCATTTTGTGGGATTTTCTTCGATTTTTCGTAGAAATTTTTGACATTCTGTGAGTAATTTCTCTGAAATTTTGTAGGTGATTTTTTTGACGTATTTTAAATACTTATGGGTATTTTTTTTTTTCTTAATATTTTGTGGGTATTTTTAATATTTCATATGTGTTTTTTAGGAAACAGTTTGCCCTCCATACAGTCACTCTCCATATAATCACACCCTCTTTATAAGCACGCCAATTTTTAGAACAAACATATATAAAACATTAGAGATTTGACCTCTATACGGTACAATTTCTTATAAGCACAGAATTTCTTGGAACCGAGGGCGTGACTGTAGTATAAAAATGGATACGTATCACTTTGCAGACAATTATTTTATAGACTCCTTATTATATAGACAATCAATTCATAGACAAGATTATTTTAAAAACAATTAATTCACAAACAATAGACAGCTCATTTTGCAGACAATTTATTTTATAGACAATCTTTAAAAGAGAATAACTCCTGATCCAGTGATTTGTTTTGGATACTTTAATTACCAAAATAATCGCCTTGATAAGAAGATTCTAACAAGCATAAAATTACCCAAATCCAATCACTGAATCCCAAAATTATTAGGAATTTATATTGATTTCGATATTAATGTCTGTAAAATAAATTGTCTGTAAAGTGAACTATCTGTGAATTAATTGTCTTTAAAATAAACTTGTCTATAAATTGATTGTCTATGAAATAAACTTGTCTATAAATCGATTGTCTATGAAATAAGGTGACTGTAAAATGATTTTTGTAAAGTGACATGTATCCACAGAAAATTTCCAATAGAATTGATAGGTTTCTAATATTGGTTGATATCAGAAATTTATAATTTTGACTCGGTAATTTCGATCGATTATCAAAAAACATTCTGGAAGCTTTAGGATTTATGAAGAAATCATAGTAATTTTTTATATTTTTGACTTTACTCAACCTTTTTCAAATTCATTATATTTTTTTTTTATATTATAATGTTATAAGCAATATTTTTTTACAATTTTTAGCCTTGTACTGATTAGCCTCATTTAATTTTTTTTTGAAATAAATGATATTACTCGTAATATACATTATGTTACAGAATTAAGTCATGGATTGGTATGAAGATGTACTTGTTAGTTTAAAAATAAATTAATAAAATTATCAAAAAAAAAGATACAAGTAATGTATTTGGATTATGCTATCATGAAAAAACAAACGTTTTTATGAGTAAATATGGCAAGTACTTTAAGATTTAATTAGATTGCTAAAAATTGGGTTACAGGCTAAAATCCCAACAAATAAAATCTCGACAGGGTCATAATACCGATAAGCCTAGCTCGCATCAACCATAGTTCCAGTCAATTTTTGTCGGAATTTTGTTTGTCAGGATTTTGTTAGTCGAATTTTAGCCTGTAACCAGAAATTGAACCAAATATTACAATGACATTATGATATCGAGATGAATTAATTATTTGATGAAAAAGTATAATGAATCAATCATCAACTTGGAGAAATTATTAAAAATTAATCTAGAGGATACATGACCCAAAACTTAGTTGGAAAGTTATAAGTATAATGTGTATAGTACCTTAAAAAATGGATAATCACAGTAAATCCGAAATCATGATAATTCAAATGCAAACCAATTTTAGCTCGTAAGCATAATAACAGAATTTTTTTTACAGTAAATCAGAAATCCAGATATTTCTAATCCAAATAATTCAAAACAACATACTACGTATGTGTCATCACAAAGTCCAAAGTTGTCATTGAACAATGTCCAAATAAATTTAATTGGACTTTTGGACTTTAGGACAAATAATTTTTTGGACCATTTCCAAATATCTAATATCACTAAAGTATATGACATCTCTGACAAAGTCGGCAAGTACAGCAATAAAGTTTTTTTATAGAAGATAAACCAGAATCATTATAATTCTAATGTAGATTAACCTGACGCGGTACCTAGTAAATTGACATAACGTGAAATTTAAATTTCAATCATATGGGGGTGAGTCAATAGAAATCAAGCAAATTGTTTTTATTAAAATTTTTTTAAAATTTTATATACCAATAACTTAACCAAAACTTGATCAAATTTAATAAAACTTTTTTAAAACAAATTCTATAAGTTTGTAGAATTTATTTAAAAAAATTTTTATTAAATTTGATTAAGATTTTGTTGAGTTATTATTGTTTAAAGTTTTAAAAAAATTTACTTAGAAAAAATTTGCTTGATTTCTATTGACTCAACCCCATATGAATTTCAGTATGTAAATCATTGGGGTGTTATTGTATACTATGTAAATCAAAACTATATATGGTCATATAATAAAATTTATTAATAAAGATTTTTAGACAAATGATAATTTTATAATTTTTATAACAATTATTACGATAGATTTGGTCAAAAGTTTGCAAAGACCAGTATTACGTCTCTACAAACGAAATTATAGACTAAATCCTTTCTTTCTTACCTTTTTTTCAAGAAAAAAAAAACTAGTATTTTTTTATGAAAAAAAGACAAGAAAGAAAGAATTTATTTTCTTTTTCAAGAAATGGCTCTGTAACTTAGTTTGTAGAGATGAAATTCTGGTCTTTGCAAACTTTCGACCAAATCTGTCGAACCGTTAGGACTATGCATCTATTTAAAATTTTATAATAATTATCATAAATTTATCACCTATCGAAAAATCTTTATTATAAATTTTATTATATACCACATGTAGTTTTGATTTATATAATATACCGTGAATCATGCATGAAATGTACATTTTGCCAATCTCTAAATAGCGATAGACCTGATAAAATTTTTAATACCATGCGAATGTAATTTGCATATTAAAAACTTTGATAGGGTATAGCCATTTTGTAATGTGTAATTTTGCTTAATACGTAGGTTTTGATATACGTGATTGACAAACATATCACATGAACTGTAAGTAATGATTCAAAAATCACAAGATAACTACGTATATGAAAATCGTTACCTTAAAAGTTCTTTCCGATGACAAAAAAAGATTAAAAAGATCAAAATGCCTAGCGCTAGACGATCAGATGAACGGATAAGCAGTGGAAATTTGAAAAAGGATGATGAATATAATGCATAAAACTCATTTAGTCATAAGATTTCGAGTAAACATAGACTAAATATGGTGTGCCTTTGCTTTATATCGTAATAAACAAGGTTGGCATTTATTAAACTTTTTCTATTGACATATAATTCTATTCACTTTTTTTATTTTTTATGTAAGTTTTTAGTGTTAAACTTTATTAATTAAATATAAAAATATTTTAAATTTATTACTTTACTAATGCTCTTACAATATATATTTAAATAATTACAAATTATTAATAATTTTTTTCTATATTGAAGACAAAAAATCGAGCTTTTGCTCTATTGTTCTATTTGCCATCACTGGTAATAACGTAGCTTTTTGTCTCAATACGTAACGATTACAATGATATAACTATAATACTGCAAGAATTTTTTAAAATTTATAACTGCTATAATGATATGATGTCATTCGTGTTATAATCAGATACATCGGAATTGTCGAAATGCGATAGAACTATTATATACGTATACTATTAGCTCTATCGGAACCGACTATATACCTGATATTGTACGAATGAATGCAATTAATCATTTATATAAACGAAAAAGGATGTGATACGTCTCCGATCCGCCTTATTTATCTCATATAACTAATTCAAATATTTTAACTTTTCTGATTAAACTTTAATAGTACTACCTGTAAATTGGCTGAACAAAAGACCATGCATTGCTCATCAAAATTACATAACTTTTAACTACGTTTAAGCAGTACATTTTTTTTGCATAGTTATTAGCATGGATAAATATATTGAATCTGAGTGTCACTTGAAATCTCTAGTAAGTACTTCCTTTAAGCAAAGTAATTTTTACAACGATAATAAAGGCATTGTTAAAGATGATAAGAAAGAATTTGAACGGTATTTAAAATCTGCAGAAAATGGCGATTCTAAAGAACAATGTAATCTTGGATTTTGCTACGAGCGTGGAATAGGCATTATTAAAAATGAAAAGAAGGCATTCAAATGGTATTTAAGATCTGCCGAAGGTAATGATTCTAAAGGACAATGCAATCTTGGATTGTGTTATGAACGTGGAATAGGAACTGCTAAGGACGATAAGAAGGCATTTGAGTGGTATTTAAAATCTGCTAAAGGTGGTAATTCTGATGGACAAAATAATCTTGGATTCTGTTACGAGCGTGGAATAGGCTTTGTTAAAGACGAAAAGAAGGCATTCGAATGGTATTTAAAGTCTGCCGGAGGTGGCAATTCTAATGGTCAGCGTAATCTTGGATCTTGCTATGAACGTGGCATAGGAACTGTTAAAGATAAAGAAAAAGCATTTGAATGGTACTTAAAGTCTGCAGAAGGTGGTGATTCCGGAGGGCAGTGCAACCTTGGATTCTGCTATAAGCATGGAATAGGCATTGCTCAAAATGAAGA